TTTTTAAAATTATATTAGTGTTATAGTTTTTAATTTATTAAAGTGATGTAAGTTGCCCGCACTGCAAAAAGTTTTTAGCTCTGCCCCTGATGCTCGGCACGTGATGTTTTCGTAAGTTATTTATCGTTGAATTTGTTCTTCAAATTCAATTGTCAAATTTTATATTTTAATTTGACCCATTCTAAATAAAATCCATAAAAAAATTGTATGTTGTACACTGAAACAAAAAGTGCGGAACTGAGAGTGAAGTTCTAGAATCCCCGTAAGGGACAAGAGAGTGGGTGGTTCACCAATAATGAACTAGGAAATCGAAGTTTTGCATCAGGTAAAAAAATTCTATTTATTCTCTTTCTTGTTGATTTAATGTCTTGAAATTTTGGTTGCACCAAATAGGTTTAAAACCAAAGCAATTCGAAACCATTTTGCCGATTTCAAGTCGTTCCAACTACAAATTAATCTACCGGAGTTCTCAACTCCTGAAGTTAGGAGGATTCAAGATTCTAAAGAGCTATATACTCTTCTCGCAAGAACCTCTCTACCCAAGCAAAAATTCCATCAAGCGTGGCAGCACTTATCGCAAAAATTTAACGGGCTAAAACATGGGTGTAACCAAAACATGCTGCAAATGTTGCCTGGATACTGCAGTTACTCTCAAGAAAGTTGATGATGCACAAAATTGGTTTGCACACCACCTGTCAATTAAATATTATAAAATACAGCAAAGTAGAGAAAGTGAGAAGACAAGGTATATAGTGGTTCGGTCAATATAATTTACATCCATTTTGAATGGTAAGGGTCATTGGTATTATATTAACTCTGGTGTGTAGAGAGAGTAAAGAGTTACAAGTTTTGAGAGGGAGATGAGAGAATTATACTCAAATGAGTGAGATGTCTCCCAAGTGTTGGTGAGACTTACAATTTAAAGTGTCTTAATGTAGTAATTGAATAGTTAGTCTGACGGTCATAATGAGTTGAGACCATTTAATTATCATAACGCATTGGAATGACTTTAATAGTAATTAAATATCTTGACGACCTCTTCTCTCCTTAAAGGGCAAGGAAATTATGATGCTCTCCAAAAGAATTGGTCAAAAGATGAAGGAAAGTGGACTCTCTCCAAACGGCGAAGGTGAGGTTTCTAAATGATCCCTTGGTGGCGTAGCTCCTTGATGAGCTTGACTGACTTGAACCTCTACTCCAAGGTGGTGGAGGAGACTTTTGGATGATCTTGCATGCTCCCTTACTGATGTAGCTCTTTGATCTTGTTGAACTTCTTCGAGTTGACTACATTGAGCTGAACTTGTTGGATCTTTTAGAGATAGGCCATAACCTCGGACCGGACTTATAATTTGAGTTAGGCCCTTGGTGTTGGCCATCATTTGCCCTGCATCTAACAAAATTTGAAAAAGACGGCATTGAGTTTGATTTTGAATTTTGGAAAAGAAGGCAATTTAGTAAAGATTAAAAACGCTCTAACAGGTAAAAGTTTGACGGAAAATTTTGTATGACTTCATGGGTGACGGTACCACGCGGTGTACGTACTTAATGAGAATTTATCATAAAATTAATTTATGGGACACAAAAAGTAAACTTTTTTAAAAAATACTGACAAAGTGACAAAAGATATTCATTCATTAGGAATGTAAATTATTTTGTTGGTGATGTAAACTACTTGACATTAACCTTAAAACGTGATGTGTTAATTCCACATTATTTCTCAAAAAAAATATATGAACACACAAAAAAAGATACATTGGTGGAGTCTATTTTTTTGTAATTCAAGGTCTTAAATTTAATTCCTTCTCACATTCTGTAAAAGTTAGTCACTCTTATTTTTTTGGATACATACTCTAAATTAGTTTAAAGTATAATGACCAACTATTAAATTTAAAAAAATAATCAACACAAACTTAAACACTTTATAATATATTTTGCACAATGAATCGTTATTTAGATAGCCATTGTCTGTTGCTTCAATTAGCCTGCCGTACCCCCAGTCACAGGCCCCCAAAGCGGACCCCCCATTCTCCACCAGAAACATTCGCGTACACAGGGAGCAGCCATCAAAAACTTATGGACCAGACAAGGGTACGGAAATAGAATTGATTACGGGACCAGATTATGGTACTATATCGAAAAGTTATCACTTTGTCAATTTAAGACAAAATTATAATATAAATGGGGAACTTTACAACTACAGATAACATTATAATATTAATGAATAATTTATAACAACTAGTAGACAAAATTAAAAAATTTTAATTCGAATTCGTGTGATTTTATTGTTATGATTTATATTTGAATCCGTCAAACATTAGATATTCGATCGCATATTGGATCTAATTTGATTTAACAAGTTTTTAGTGTGTATTTTTTATCAAATAAATCTAATTTAGTGTACCCTTTACAATTTACCCTAAACAGAGATAACTTACCACGAGCACGGCCTTTACATGTTGTTTGGTGAGATGTTGGATACCTGTTGTTGGCTCCTTGGCTAAGCATAGCATGACATAAATGAATTCTTGATAATCCATGTTAACGGTCGGCCTAATATTCACCATTTTACTGTTGAATTTTAAAATTATAGGTTTGAATCTTGACGTCCTCTTTCCTATAATAATGTCTAACCAAAAAAAAAAAAAAAGGTCTTGATGGTTGGTGTTGGCTGGATCAAGATGTTCATCAAGTAGTTGGGTTGCTGTGAATGAAGTATTTAAAGGGTCTTTAATAGTGTTCTCTATTTAATATTTATAGGTGGCTCTAGTTGGGTCTATTTTTTGGTAACGCAGAGATTTTAGGTTCAATTTTTTTTTTCAGACACTCTAAAGGCTAGCTACCGTTACCCTTTTAGAGATATGCTCTAGACCAACTCAATCTATGGTGGTTAATTGCTGAGCTCGAAGGAGTAGTCGGCGCAAGCTCAGACAACCTATAACAGACTATCTGTGTCGAGACTAGAGTATTTATGAGGACATCTCAATTTACAGCTCGTCTTTATTATCACTTGAGTTGTCCTTAAAATTATAATATTAATATTTTATAAATAAAATATGTAAATAAAATTAAAAAGAGAGTTACGTGTACTTACTTAAAAAGAGACGAAAGGTATTACAGCCATTTTAAAAGTGGACTCCAAACGCCTTGTTTTTCTTTGATTATCATTAGTTGCCTGCACTGGCAACATGAGCAAACCATTCTTCTACTTACTATCTCTATATCTCACTAACTACCTAACTAACTATACATTTATAAGAAAATCTTATTTATACCTAATTTAATAATTATATTTAGTGACTTGATGGATCATAGTCATTGAATTGATAATGAATTCTAACTAATAGTAGGGTTCATTATCAATCTAATAATAGAAAATGAAAAGATCACTAAATAATATCACTAAAAAAACTCATATTTATAACATGCATAGATCAAACTATCTTACTAAAAATAAATTTTAGTGTATATCATAGCTTTTTTCATTTACGCAGATAACTCTACTTACTATTACATACTTATTTGTATATAAGAAGATTCAAGCTGCAATATACAAATTTTCACCCAAGCGTGGCTGTGCTAGAGCTAGCAGTGGGTGAGCTAGAGAGTGATCAGTCTGTGCCTCTCTGAGGTCAACACTAGACACACAGGGTGGAAACTTCCAAGTGAACCCTTGAAGAAGCCTAGCCAAAAGAATGGCAGTCATGGTAGAACCCAATGTCACCCCCGCACACCCACGCCTTCCTGTGCTAAACGAAAACATCTTCAGCTCCGGGTCAGAAAGCCCCACCTCCGAGCCAGCGTCCTTCAGGTGGCGCTCCGGCTTGAACTTGAGTGGCTCCTCCCAAACTCTCGGGTTTCGGCCGAGTCCCGGTCGGCTCAGCAACACGTGACTACCCTTAGGGATGAAGTAACCGGCGACGGTGGTGTCTGCGAGGGACACGTGTGGAACATTGAAGGGTGCAAAGGGGTGAAGCCGAAAGGCTTCTCTGGCGCATGCTTTCACGTAATTGAGGTGTGGCAAATCGGACTCTTGGACTAATCTCTCTTTTCCAACCACTCTGTCTAGTTCTTCTATGGCTTTTTCAATGGTCTGGGGCTGATTTATCATCTCTGCAAGTGCCCATTCGACGCCATTTGATGGATTGTCCACTGTTGCTATCATTAGTTCCTGTGAAGTACACCAACTAATTAACGCTATTTTGTGAAACCAATATTCTTTAACGATATTGCACCGATGCAAAAGCTGCACAACAATACTCTTTTTGTTTTTTTAGCAATGCTGCGTAGACTTAAAAAATAGATTTAAAAATTATACTTGATAATTTTAATTATTAATTTTACTGTGGGTCCTAGTATTTATTTAAACTCATTACCTATTCAATAGTTAAAATTATCAAGTCTAATTTTTAAATCTAGTTTTTAAATTCACCTAACATTTCTTTTTTTTTTTTGACCATAAAGTATGAGATCAATGACAAATATTGGGTGTAATCGACACCACGTCAGTTGTGTAATTGTCTACTAATAACTATCACTCGGTGTAATCGTTCATTAATAAGTAAACAATTCCACAAAAATTTGTAACAACTTGTAATGCATAATTACATCCATAATAGAAAATGAGTTTTATTTATCTATTTTTGTAGTTTTTTTATTAAATCGTTACACCACATTAATATTGTTGATATAATATAACCGTTACACCTAATATTTACTTAAAAAGAAAGAAAATGCTATTTAAACTTAAAAATTTGATATAATTTATTGACTTAATGACGTGGCTTTATTGGAACCATTAGATTCACATCAAGTTCAAATGTTTGAGGAAGTCCACAGTCAATCCAAAGCTCATAATGAATTAGGTCAATAAATTAGGTCTCAAAAGCATTACTCTAAAAAGAATATGCAATATTAAGTAGTCATAGTTAATTTCGAATGCCATGTTTAACATTACTACTCTCATGTGAGAGTGTGTGTTTGTACGAGAGAGAGAGACTTACAACAATCTGGGCTTTGATCTCTTCAGCTGACAACACTGGTCTACCATCTATATCCTTGAGAGTAATCAGAACATCAAGCAAGTCTTCTTTTTCCTTCTTACTACCTTCCGTCCATTGCCCAATTCTTTGGTCAATTTCAGGATCATGATATTTTCTTACAGTCCCAAGAGCTTTCTTCATAATCTTCACATGCCCATCTATGTCAAACCCTCTTAAACATGGTAAATAATCAGAGATACCAAAAGCATAAAGGTACCTAAGAATGGTGAAAAGCCCGGCGACATGCTCCTCCTCTTCAACCCCTGGTCCTCCATCTTCCATTCCTTTTCCGAAAAACCTCTTTCCAAATATCATTTTCCTTATCACATTTCCACAGTAATGCTGAGTAGCAATTCTCACATTCACTACTCCGCCTTCCATGGTGATTTTGCACTGGTTATACACGTAACGAACAAGGTTATCAGCTTCTTCGTCTCTTTTGCCTTGAAGCCACCGGTGTTTCGCCTGAGAAAGCACCTCAGAAGCGAGGATTCTCCTCATTTTTTTCCATTGTTCGCCGGAGGGGACTAGAGCTACCGATAAGTATCCGTTACTAGCAAGATCAGCGGCCATGCAAATAGGTCTAGATGAGAAAATAGCATCTTGTTTCTTCAAGAACTCTCGTCCCAATTCAGGACTAGTAACTGTAATAACATGAACTTTTCCTAGACGAATACAAGCTATTTCAGTGTTCATTTCATCCATAAGGTTGTGTATCCATTGGGATATTGGTTTGTTTGAGAGCATTTCGGGGAGATTTCCAACTATCGGCCATGGTTTTGGGCCAGGAGGAAGTGGTAATTTGCTCTTGTTACCAATGGGTTTGGATTTGTTCTTGACAAAAAGAAAGAACAACAAAGCCGTGAGAAGAACAGTAGAGAAGGAAAAGCTCAAAAGAATTAATGGTAATTCAATTGAGACCATGTCTTGAGAGCCCTGAAATAGGGTTGAGGAGTTGAAGGAAGTGACTAAGGTGTTATTGTTGATCTTCATGATCTTTTGTGCTTTGTGTGATTGCCTGCTGGCTCAGAGAGGGGTGTTGTAATGGTTGCTTGTGTGCTTGCTGGTTCGTAGTATTGGCTATAGCCTTTTTATACTAGTTTGTGCATGAAAAGGACAGCGTGAATCAATAGTGAAACCTGAGATCCTCAAGTCACTTGTGAAACACGTGATCCATCGAAGACGTGGCCAAATGACTCGACTGTTGACTTTCAACAGTTATGGTCGTTTAAAAATTGGATTGAAATTACACCCCATACACCATTTTATAGAAGTTAAATGCCATTGGACCTTTACATACGAAGTAATGATAATGCGACCTATAAGTTTAACATGATTTAATAATGTGCTATTTGATATAGTCCAATATTTGATGTAGAAATAGGTTAATTGTCATGCTTTCAAAGCACAATCAAAAAAATAAATAAATAATAATTAAAGACAAAATAAGTTAGACTCAGAATTCCGTAAGACTAAAGGTGTTTGATTCAAATCAAACAAACAGTCAGAACTCATTATTTTGCCATGTACCCCTTCAACTTTAGGCTGAATTCCATCGTTTAAGTTCTCAAAACTTCATTTTAATCGTTTCAAGAAAGATTTTGTAAATTAATAATAAATCATATTAGATTTTGAATTCAACGCTGTTAGTTTTGTTAGGCTTTAAACGACACGTGCTTTTATGTTAATTCAAAAAATCACATATTTTTATTTTTTATAATTTTCATAATGTTAGCGATTTTGCTTTGGTTACGAGAACTGTTATAGTTTTGACCATTCCTACTTATACTACTCATTTGTACTGCAGATTATTCATTCAATAAAATCATATTTTACAGTTTTATCTATTATCTATGTGGATTCATAGTTTTCTTTTTGACTGGATACATAAAGAATTGTAATATTCTTTGTGCTCCATATTTCTCTGTGTTAGTTGTTGTAATTATAATTGTCGGCATTCTTCATTCTAAGTATATTACTTGACACATTACTAGATTAGATATTTAAATCAAAAAAAAATATTCTTAAAAAAAAAATACTAAATAGACTTAAAAATCTTACCAAAAATACTAATTTAATGATGATATGCTAGTTGATGTGATTCATTTGCAAAATAACAATAATATTATTTAGATTTATTTTGTTGACCTAATTCAACACAATTATTTCAATAGTACTAAGTCTCACATAATATTTGGATTTACTATCAATTTAATATGTGATCGATTAAGTCAATAAATTGGATTAATAAATTAAATTTAAGTAACATCATATTATTTTTTTTGGGTAAATAATAACATTATATTATTTGATAAGGGGGTTGACACCATTCAATAGGATTTTTCTATTTGCAATTATTAGCATTTTTTATAGAGACTATATCACTCGACACATCATTATGTTAATTAATTAGATTAAAATTTTAAATTATATAAAATTATTATTTATAATTATAATTATTAAATTTTGTTAAGAGAATTATATCACTCGATACGTTGTTAAATTTAACCTATTGATCAGATTTTTAGGCTAATATTATTTATCAAATGAAATAAGTTTTACATAAAATTGGTCGTTCCAACTTCCGACAGCCTCGGGGATTATTGTAAACGGATTTGACGCATGTGATAGGTCTGTTTTTTTTTTTTTTTTGAAAAGTAGATTTGAGGCATGTTGTCGGTTAGAAGATGTGGGCTGAAATTATTTGGAGGCGTATTCTGTTGAAAAGAATTCAAACAAGACTGCCCCATTCTCACTAAATATCCAATGCAAATATCATGTTATTACTATTATCACGTAATTGTATTTTTTAATTACAAAATTTTAAAAGCGATGCATACCTAGTCTTTTATATCAATTGAATTGTTTTATTCTATTTGTAAAATTTTCTTTAAAAAGTTATGATTTCAAAAATAAATCTAAACCAATCACTAAAATAAATTGTCACGTTTTACAAAACATTTAAGAATAAGACGAACACAAACCATGAAAGGAGGGATTTGCGTTATTGGAGAGAGAGAGAGAGAGAGAGAGAAACTCTCTACCAAACCTTAATCCTAAATCTCAGATGTTTCAGAACATCTAGTGGAGAAAATAAAGTTGCACTTTTCAAGGAAAAATAATGAAAAATAATGAAGATGGTCATCACTTATGAATGAGGTGTATGACCAGTGCGTCGACTTAATCACTAATAATTTTTACATTCAAAAGTACCATGCACGAATTAGTTGGGTTCACTTATCCTATTTATTTATTATTAGTCGGTTATATTATGTGATGAGAGTGACATGATATAACCAGTACATTGAATATTTACTTGTAAAAGATAGAAATGTAATTGATGATTATTTTCGTATACGTTACCAACACTGGGGTTTTGTCTTTGAAAATTGATTATCGGTTCTGTTTCATTATATATATGAAAATTGTTTTTTTGTGATAGTTGATGTTAACTAAGATTTTATTAATGTTAATATTAAAATACTTTTTCTTGGCAGAAGCAATTGTCGGTGGAGTTGACAATAATTTTTGCATATTTGAAATAAAAAATCTAGCCTTTTATATCAATTGAATTGTTTTCTTTTGTTTGTAAAATTTTCTTTAAAAAGATAAAATTTCAAAAATAAATCAAAACCAATCACTATAAAAAACTGTCACGTTTTACAAAACATTCAAGAATAAGACAAACACAAACCATAAAAGGAAGGATTTGTGTTATTGGAGAGAGAGAGAGAGAGAGAGATATGTTTTAAGTTTTGCGTTTTGACAAGAAAGAGAGAATGAGTGGTGCATATTTGGTTGAGATTTTGCTCTCTTTTTTTTGGGGAGGGGGGACCTAAAATTTGTAGGGTCGTCCTTGAATATGGAGTTTAAAATCCGAATTTTGTTGTCCTTACATATCTCCCATTTTCAAATAATCACAGCATGACTAATGTAAAGTGTTGATATAACCAGTACATTGAATATTTACTCGTAAAAGATAGAAATGTAATTGATGATTATTTTCGTATACGTTACCAACACTGGGGTTTTGTCCTTAAAAATTGATTATTGGTTTTGTTTCATTATATATATGAAAATAGATTTTATATGGGCCAACTTAAAATCTCTTCCATGGGATTCTAAATAATTTCGAATTTCTTCCAACCACACAAGGCAGATAATGTGAATTGAACCATAGTTTTCATATGGTTCAAATCAAATGGAATGTCCGAACAAAAGAAGGTTTACTTGCATGTCTATTTTCTTTAATTTCCCATTCATGTGTAAACGTTTTTTTTGAAGTATGTGGTGGTGGTGTAACCATATTAAACGATAAATTTTATGCCAAACTTTCACGCTAAGACCATTTTCAACGGGGCGGCTTAAGTCAATTTGAGATCTAAAACGGAAATATTAAATAAATATTTTTTTATTTTTAGTATTATTTTTTTAAAAAAAATTAATTTAGTTTTAATTTTTTATGTGAGAGGGAGACAAAAAAATGATGTTTTAATATTGTCGAGTCGAGAAAGAAATTTCAACTTTTGTTTTTATTTTTTATCACAGAGAGGGAGAGAGAATATTTGATTTCAACTTTTGTTTTTGTTTTTTATTTTTTTATTTTTTTATACCGTAGAGAAAGAAAGAGAGAAAGTGGGTGTGAGTAAATATGAGTTGACTTTTTAGTATTTTATTTTATTTTTTTAATTTCTAAATTTTTGATGTTATGGATTGGATTATAAACCCAAATTATTGTAATAAAAATTTTGATTGGATTTAATTTTTTGGGGGATTTTTTTTAGGGCTTAAAATTTAATAGATTTAATTTTTTTTTTGTGGGTTAATGATATACCTAAAATTATGAGATTTTTTTAAAAATTTGGGGCGTAAAACCCATATTTTTGTTTTTAGGAAATTTGGAGGCCGGTTCCCCTATATGGAATTGTCTGGACTTAAATCCGTCAAGAAAACTTATTTGTTATGAAATCCGTTTTTTGTTAATTTTACCGTACTATCCCTTCTCTTTAGAAGTAAAATAAAACTAAAAATTAAAAACTTTTAAATTTTAGAAGTTTGACTGACATTAAAATCTTTTCTCTTTTATATCTATCTATATCTATATATAGGTTAAGAGTTTATATATATATAATAACATTAAAAATAAAAAATATTAACATTCAAATACAAAAAAAATAGTAACATTCAAACATAAAAAAATTGAAACATTCAGTATTAATATTTTTAAAAAATAACATTAGCAACATGTTCAACAAAAAATACTAACATGCTTAACAAAAATTGTAATATATTTAATAATAATTATTTCTCTCAAATTCAAACGCAAAGAATAGTACCATTCAAACACAAAAAAAATAGTAATATTCAAAAAAAAAATAGTAACATTGAATATTAATATTTAGGATAATAATATTAGTAACATACTTAACAAAAAAAGTAACATGCTCAAAATAATAGTAACATAATAAAAAAATAGTAATATGAAACATTCAATTTAACAAATTAACCCCTACAAAAAATACCACAAATTACAAAAATAAAAAATTAACAAGGACTAGATATTCTTATCCGTTACCCACAAAATTGACATAATTCATAGAAAATTAAAAGATGAACATTGATAAAACAACTCCACTAGCTGGTTGGAGAGAGAGAGAGAGAGAGAGAGAGAGAGAGAGAGAGAGATTTTGAATTTGAATTTTAAATTTATGATGAAAATTTTATTAGCATATTTTAAATGACATTGAATTAAGGGATAACTATATCCAAAATAAGAAATTAATGTAACTTCCTTTCAAAAAATTATATTTTGAGATAAAAAAAAAGTGGATTTAAGTCATTACATATAATTTTAAATATGGACTTAGTTTCTTATAAGTTTTTTTGCAGGATTTATCTCCAAACAAGTACAACTAGGAAGACTCACTTCCAATTTTCATTTTTTTTTCCATACTGTTGCGCCGGCCCTGATTTTCAATGGAAACCTTTCTTTTTTTTTTGAGGGGAGGAAGAAAGGGAAAGGGGACTTGAACCCTTGA